GTGAACCTCCACATCATATACATAACATCGTTTCACACCGAGGGTATTCACCCCAATGCTATTTCGTTTCACATGGAGGCATAATTGTCATTTTAAATTCACAATTTTATTTTTATATAATATTAATATAATATCAAGGGCATTCTTGTCATTTCGCAGTCACATAACGGTTATGTAACGAAAAGTGGGCAATGTGATAGTTTATGTTATTTTAGGAAACTTTTTAATAATTGAGGGGGTTATATGTAATTTTTGTAAACAACAGGGGTTTTTGTATTTTTAGCCTTATTTTTTATGTTCGGGTTATTCCGGAAGCTATAAAATTTCGTGAAAAGGGATTAGAGTATTGTTTTAAATTAGATGGCTATTAATGGATGTGGTGGCATCAGGAGATAGATCTTGGGCACCGTCCAGTGTACTACTTAGTTTTAGTGATTTTTCAAGCGACAAAGATTTTTAGGATGATGATTCAAATGCAAACAGTAACCAGTCTCAAAGACTTGAGAATATTGATGCTGGCATTGACGTTGGGAGTGTTGAATGACAAAGAAAGAGAACAAAAGAGTCAAAACTAGCATAAGGACGTCCAAAGAAAATTTCGTCTGAAACAAAGTTGTCTAAACAACTTGATTGAATGTGTGATGTTGTAGAAAATAGAAGTTCTACTATGCATTCATGACTTGACCCACCAGGATGTAGCATTCAAGAAGTAATGGCAATTGTGTCTGCAATTCCACAAATTTCTCGAGGGAGTGAACTTTTTCTATTTACCGAAAAAGAAAACAGAGAGATGTTTGTGGCACTTAATGATATTAAAACACAAAGTACATGGTTTAAACAAGAACAAGCTAGGTAACTAATTAACCCACCCCTTTTCCAAGGACTTTTAGGATAGTAATTAGGTTTCTCTTTCTTTAGTCTCGACTTGTTTAGTGATGATTTTTATCTTGCATTTAAACCTATTGGAGTGTGTGTGTGTGTGTTTGTTTGTTTTTTTTTTTTTTTTTTTTTAAGATTTGAATTCATGCATCCCTTTAATTACTATTCCAATTTTATTAGTTTTCAATTGTTTATGAACATGAATGTGTTTTAGACTTTCAATATTATATTTTATTTATTCAAAAATCGTTGCTTGTATTAAATGATATATGATTGTGTTTTAGATTTTGCTAATTTGTAAATCATTTTATAGCTCTTACATGGATTCATCGGAGGAAATTGAAAATGAAGACGCTGAGTTCTACGCTCTTGTGGTAGCAGGTTCCACCACAGTTATCACATATTTTAATAATTTTATTTCTAAGGAACCATGTAGAACTTCAGAAGAATATATCAGGTTCAAAGTTTTTGATGGAAATCCTTGCCGGTCATGATAGACGATGCTACGAACAATTTAGAATGAAAAACCCTGTTTTTATAAAACTTTGTGAAATTTTGGAGGAAAAGTATGAATTGAAAAGTAGTCGAGAAATTGGTGTGGATGAGCAAGTAGCTATGTTTTTAATGACTATAGGACACGGTGTAAGTAATCGAATGATTCAAGAACGTTTTCAGCATTCAGATAAAACTGTAAGTAGACATTTTACAGATGTGTTAGTTGCAGTCATAAAGATACTATTGATTTTATAAAACCTCTTGATCTTGATTTTAAAGAAGTTCCTAAATATATTCGTGAGAATCGAAAGTACTGGCCACAATTTAAGGTAATTCTTTATAGAATTTTATTATTTTAATTTAATACTATTAATTATATAATAATTAACTGTTTATCAATTGTTAGGATTGTATCGGAGCAATTGATGGGACACATATTCCCGCTGTTATCTCCAAAGATAAGAAAGTTCCATACATAGGAAGGAAAATGTATTGTACTCAAAATGTGATGGTCGTATGTGACTTTAATATGCTATTTACATTAGCATGGGCCGGTTGGGAGGGAACTGCTCATGATACTCGTATTCTTTTAGAGGCAACTGAGACATTAAACTTGAAGTTTCTGAAACTCCCAGAAGGTTCGTGTATACACTAATTTTATCTATATTATTTTTTCTATCCTTGAAAAAAAATTATTTAATATTTCATTAATTATTTGGTTTTGTATGAAATAATATCTTCTAAAATTTTACCGTCATAGATAAATATTATTTTGTTGATGGAGGGTATCCTAACATGAAAGGATATTTAACGCCTTATAAGGGAGTGCGATACCATCTTCCAGATTTTTGTCGTGGAAGTCAGCTAAGGGGCACTAATGAGTTCTTCAATCACGCTCACTTATCTTAATTTGAGAACGATTATCTAAAGAACCTTTGGTGTTTGAAAAGTAAAATGGTGAATTCTATCATGAATGTTTAGCATTAATTTTCCAAAACAAGTTGCAATTGTTATCGCATCCATGGTGATTCATAATTTCATAAGGTGAACGGCTATGTTGACAAGGATTTTCAGCATTATAATGAGAATTTAGATTTGGCACCTGATGAAGATAGAAATAATAATAATGAACATCCATATGATAGGTAAACTGGCAATGATAATGAGATGGGCGTTGTTCGTGACTGTATAGCTTCTAAATTATATTAGATGTTTATTATTTAATAAATTATGACTTGTACTTGTTTTTTAATAACTATAATACAATTATGCTATTTTGACGAGTAATATCATTATTAATTGTGGTTGAAGTATGCAGTTTTATTTGATTAAATGTTGTCTGTATTGTAAATCATAATATGATTGAAGGCTCGCGTGCGCTTTACACCCCTATGGTATTGATATATTGCGTATAACCCCACATTGTTTGTTCACTTCCCCTATACTTTAAAAATGGTGCGGATTAGTGCCTTTTGGACATTGACCTCTACTGATCGGTACCGGAGCTACAAAAAAAATAAAATAGCCCTCTATCTATGATTTAAAAAAACTAATAATATAACATAAAATAGGAAAAGACAAAGACACCCTTTGTCAATATGACATCGTTTCATGTTAGGGCATATTTACACACATTGTGAACCATTTCCTCTATCCTTGTTGTGACGATTTCTTCTGGTTATGCTTCGGAGTCGCCATGGAAACAGAGCTTTCCTTTGTTTTCTGGAATTTTGATTTGCTAAACCCTAGCATGAAAACTAGCGAAGATCTCAGCAATGAAATCAGAAACTGATCGAGGCAGAATCGTGAGATAGAACCGAGTTTTAATCACGAAGATCTCTTCAAACCCTTTCTTTAATTGAACCTCAATTTTCATAATTTAACTCGCATGAAACAACAATATCATAATCATCTAGATTTTCAGAGAGAAACCACAATCGATCAAGTATTTTTAAGGTTTAGTTTAGTTGGGGGTTGTTTTGTTGGAGTTCAAAGCATGGCGGGGTACTTGCCGTTGAAGACAAAGAGGAAGGAACTCGATCGAGTGAACGACGATTTCTTAGATTTCTCTCTTTCTTCGCCTGCTAGAAAAATCCGTTGATTGGTAACTAAAATTTCTCTAATTTCTTCATACAAATTTTGCAATTTCTCTTTTTACTTTTTCTCTGTATCAATATTACAATCTCTCTCTGTATCAATATCAATATTACAATCTCTCTTTAGTGAAAACATAACATAATTTTCCTTCGTTTGGTGGTGTTTGACAGTGCAGAGAATCGAGAGATGGAAAATGTAAGCTTTTGTACAGATAGGGAGAGAGAGGAACGTTTGGATGGTCTGTTTATATAAACCATACCACCGGATGTTATATATATATATATATATGGTGAGGAGTAATAAAGGAATATAAGAAGGGCAATTTGGGAAATAAATGATTTAAAATGGTCATGTATATATATGGCACATGACCAACTAACGTCGAATTTCCATCAAAATTCTGATCGGAGGTGCTTAGATGCACATTTTCATATCTTGTATGGATTTATATAAATAAATAAAACTATAAGGGTGTAATTCGCACATATTTTCAAACTATAGGGGTTTTTCAAACTTTCCCGTGATTGAATTTGCTTATTTTATTACTAAAAAATCACAAATCAGGTACAAATGAATTTATCATTTACATATGTTTAATTCATTTATATTTTAGTACTAAATACAAATACTATATAATAAATAAAATATGTGAAATAATAATAAATAAAAAAAAAAAAGAAAAATCAATACAAGTTGATCTTCATATAATTATTAAACTCAATGAAATTTTAAAATATTTAAATTGGGGAATTAACACATGTTTATTAGTGTAGGGGAAATAAAATAAAATAAATAATAAAAGTGTTTTAAGCAACATTGTTACCAAACATATTTAAAAGTGTTTCAAGTATAAATAAATTCTTTCACAAATTAGCTCGCAATATATTTCAATTATGAAAAATATTCACCTAAGATACCCATTAGAAGTCATTAATTATGAAATTTTTTCATCTTTTATTTATTTATTTAATTATTATTATTATTATTATTACTTTCTAGAAAAGAAATGGTACTTAATAACCACAACCGGAAAATATCTATGGTAATGCTTAATTTGGATATGAAAACACGTACACAATGATGTGGTTCCTTTGCCATCTCTGAATTCAAAACGAAATTATCATCTTCAAATTACTTAAAATGGAAGCCTTTATATAACAAAAACAGCTCATTTCTATAGTACTATTTTCCAATAGGATAATGTGCTGTAATCTGCACATTATGATCACCCATCTACATAGTCTAATGCACCAAAAATAGTTACGCGAATTAAACAAAGCATATATACTTGGGGAAAAAAAAACCAATGTTTGGTTCTGTTTTCTGTTTCGAAGTTAAAAAATCATAGAACAATGCTTTATGACAATCAATATAAATTACTCAAATTTGAGTTATTAAATTTCACAAAGTAATTAGTTGCACAAATTTTATAACACTTTCGTTTTCTGTGCATATAATTATCAAAAAAAGAACCAAACAGGTGTTAAATCTTACAAATCCATTTTTGTAATTGGATTTGTAAAAATTTGATGGAGCTCTTTCAAAAAGCAATAACGGTTCGCCTTCTCAGCCACCATGAAAAGTACCTCATAGCAGAGGATGACGAAGAATCCGTCTGCCTCCACCACAATGGCTCCTCCAAGAATGCACATTGGACTATCGAGTTTGTAGAGGGTGACGAAAATTTTTTGCGCTTTAAAAGCTGCTATGGCAAGTACTTGACGGCCTCAAACCTGCCATTCCTTCCCGGGGTGACAGGCCGGAAGGTACTTCAGACATTGCCGGCCAGAAAGGACTCGTCCATCGAGTGGGAGCCGGTGAGGGACGGATTTCAGGTGAGGCTGTTGACGCGATACGGCAATTTTTTGAGGCCGAATGGGGGCCTACCACCGTGGAGGAACTCGGTCACGCATGACCAACCTCACAGGCCTGGCACGCATGAGAAAATCTTATGGGACGTTGAGGTTGTTGAGAGGACTCGTTCAAAAGGGTCGTCAAGCCATCGAAGAGCTGCGACATTGTCTGATTTTTTAGATTGGGAAACAAGTTCACCTTCTTCTGTATTTTCCTCTCCGGATTTGACCAACAAAGAGAGTTTTCCTTTGGTATAGTAACTTTTTACCAACATATACGTGTATATATAATGATTCAATGAAAAATCTGGTAAATTTTTCGAGGATATATATATATATATATATAGGTGATATGGTTTTTTCATGCATCTTGTTAAAATACGCAGGCTTTGAATATCATTACGATTTACAACACATGCCCATTCATTAGTCCTTCTATGACAATGCTTTGCGAAATGAGGTTAATTTTTTGTATTTTGAAGAATGAGAACAATTTTTGAAAAATGATGATATACAGACTCTTTAAATTTGAAGGATTAGATATCCAAATATGGAGATTTAGGAAATAAAAAAAGTCATAATGAGGGTTTGTCATGCATGGTGATCCTAATGTTTAGAATTTATTACAACAATTGCATATCCTCCATCGATCATTTCTACTGTAACTATACTCTGGGGAACCGACAATACAAGTACCCCACACAATAATAAATTATCATTTTTCACTATTAAGGAAAATGAGAAGTCTTGGTAAAAAAATTATTAGATGGTTCTAGATCATTTGACATTTTGTATACTAATTCAATAAAAATAGATATTAAAATTTTTATGTAACATTATTAATACACTGTTGTGAGACAGTTTTCGCAATCGAAAAGTTTGAATTGAACTGGCTGGTCCATCAAAAATTAATAGCTTAGGACCAACTAATAATTTCTCGTCTTTAATGACATTGTTGAAACCTAAGTCACATAATATTTCTTAGTAGTTGCATGTCGCTCTCATGCTCGAAGCATGTTTTCGCTCTCACGCTTTGCTTGCACTCTCACTCCCATTCTCATTATGTTTGATTTAAATTTTGTCATTTTCATGCTCCCGCCCTCGAATTTGCTCTCTCTCTATGTGACTTAGGTTGAAACTAGATGTGACCAAAACTTAGGCCCAGTTTGGTTGGAGGGTAAAGAAAGGAAAAGAAAAAAAATGTAATGGAGGGAAATGAAATAGTATGTTTTGTATAGTTTTTTTAAAGGAAAAGAAATGAAACAAAGGGTTTGGAAGGATACAAATTAGGCAAAAATATTAGTTTTGTAATCCTCCAGAAAATGGAAAGAAATGGAAGGAAATGAAATGGTATGTTTGGTATAGTTTTTTAAAGAAAAAGAACGGAAATGAAGGGGTTTGGAAATATACGAATTAGGCATGAAAATGTTAGTTTTGTAATCCTCCAAAAAATGGAAGGAAATGGAAGAAAAGGGAAAGAAATGTTAACATTTTTCATAAAATTTTGCTAATACCAATTTTGTTCTTACTTTTATAAAAGACAAAGTCTATGAAAAAGGGTAATGATAGTAAATGTATTGAAATAATAATTAAAAAAAAAAAATTTCCCCCCCAAAACATGATTACTATAATTTCATTTCTTTTCTATTACTAATGAATCAGGCAAGTGATTAATCTCTTTTTTTCTTTTCTTTCTCTTATTTCTTTTCTTTTTCACTGTGCCAAATATAACCTTAATGTATACCTATAATCAGAAGTGGAGGTAGGATTGCAAAGTAGGAGACTAAAGATAAGAAAATTTAAAAATGAACACAAAAAAAGTTGTGAAATATTAGAAAATTTTCTTGTAGAAGTGAGATATGGTAAGGGTATATTATATTCAATATGGTCTTACTTCCATATCCAAGTAACTAGATTATGAAATTGATCAATTTTTTTTTTTTTTTTTTTTTTTTTTTTCACTGAAGATTCGATCCGAGATGACCTATAAACCTAATTTACCAAATTTAGATCTCAACTTAAAATCAGGTATAAAAACATGTTTATTATCCACCATCAAAGTACCCATTAGAATTCATATTCCAAGTAAAAATAAAATAAAAATTTATCCAATTGAATCTTGAACATCCATTCAACTATTAATTGATAAAGGTGCTTAGATTATGAAATAAGACTGCCCATGTTTTAGGAAATATGGGTTTATGTCATAATTTAAAGGGTAAAGTGCATTAAACCCCCCTAAATTATGGGGGTTTTGCAACTAACCCCCCTGAATTACAAAAAACCCCCCTGAACTTTCACTTGTTTGCAATTTGCCCACTCAGGCCACCGGAAAAGATAAAAGACAATTGTACCCTTATTCAAAACTACATCGTTTTTATCTCCCCCTCTCTATTTCTCTATGTGTGTATATATTATAAATATATGTATATAATATATATATATATATATATATATATATATATATATACATATATATATAGACACAGAGAGGAGAGGGAGCACGTCGATCTCGCCGGCCAGTTATAACGCCACCTCGATCATGTTGTCGTTGACCAGCGACACCGACGGCAAGCAGCCGTCGTCCTCGTCGGCGTTCCAGATCACCAACATGTCCCATGTGTCCCGCGAAGAACAGAAGTAAAGGCGACAAAGACCCGGGCGGCGGAGATGGACCATCACGGCCGAGTCCTCACCGGACGACCTTTTCATAGCCGACCTCTTCACGGCGGCAAACGACGAAAGCAGATCTGACATCCCAGTGTTGTCGAAGGTGCAGACGGTGATGGACTCCCGTAACTCCTTATGCCACACCCAGCGCGTCCTCACCGCCTCACCAGTAACTCCTTATGCCGCTGTTCTCTGTCCTCGTCGGCGCCGTTTCTGGGTTCGACGGCAACAAAAAACCATACCAGTTGCAGAGTTCGTGATTTGGGGATTTTTTTTATTTTTTATTTTATTTTTGGTTGAATATTATTTGGGGAAATTTGGCAAAACCATGATCAATTTCATTTTTTTGGCTAGGGTGGATTGGTTGGGCAGAATGGTGACTGTGGAGGTTTTGGGTGGAGAGCGGTGATGGTTTTAATTGGTTGAAGGTGGTGGTGGACTGGTGGTTATGGGCTGGAGGCTTCGGACGGTGGAAAGGATGAAGGTGGCCTTGGCGGTTTCGGCTTTGGATGATGTCGGCTGTGATGCAACGGCGGTGATGGATCGGCGAGGGCTCGGCCGTGAGGAAGAAATGTGACGGTGGAGTGGACCGGCCGGCAAGGATGAATCCAAGCTTCTTGTTCTGTAAATGGATTTTGATTTTTTAATTTTTTTGTAATTTTGAAATTTTCTTGTTCTGTAAATGGGATGAATCCAAGCTTCTATGCCTTGGATCGTTTCAATTCTAATGCCAAAGGACCGGTCACGAGCATCTATAAAACACACAACATATATATATATATATATATATATATATATATATATATATATATATATTGGCAGATATATACTGAACAGATCGATGAGGGAGACGGACAAAACGTTAAGGCTTGTTTGGATACTAGTTGAGTCCAAATGTCTTTAAAGGTTATTATGGTCTTTTTACATTCCATAAGGGTTCTATGGTCATTTAGAGAAATATGGGCTATCACATGGTAGAAATCCATCGGCCAGTTGCCGGATTGGGGTAAAGTGCAACCAAACAACATACTTCAGGGGGGTTTTATGCTACTTTATAAATTCAGGGGGGTTTTTTGCTCATTAAGGTATAGTTGAAGGGGGTTTAATGCACTTTACCCTAATTTAAATAAAAAGTTGGATGTTTCCTCATTTTCTAGTAGTTGTAAACTTTTTGAATTGTGGTTTCTAATTAATATAATTTATACTCTTGCTTAAAGATGGAAAAATCAAAGATAAACACAAGAACAGTTCAAAGAAGAAAGATAGTAGTAGCATATTACTCAGATAAACGCATGAACAGTTGGACTAATAGAAAGAGTAGTACTACAAATTAATTACATATGCACTGAATTTATATGAATAGTAGTACTAATTTTTATTATTATTTTTAATTAGATCTGGGTTATAGCCTAAGTTAGCTCATTAACAGTTCCTCCGTACCTATAACACTTTTCAACAAATACAATTCTACAAACTTTGTCTCTTTGAACAAATAATTCTAGAAACTCCATTTGATTTTCGTCTAGAAGAAAAAGATGATCCGCGAACACTAAAAATTATCAAATTAAAAGAATTTTTGGGATTCAAAGTGCTGGAAGAAAGCTGCAAAAGGCTAAGAATTCCTTGTAATTAATTACCGGGACGACTTCCTTGCCATTGAAGGATTTTGATTACGTACAAAACTAGTCTTTGTTTGTATCATCCATCAGTCTCGTCCAATTTCAAAGAAGTTGCATTCATCATTAAGGTTGGGCCTAGCTGAGCTCAAAGTCTCAATCTGTAACAACCAGATATATATTGCATATATATATATATATATATTTTAATTTTTGAATTCATGTTTATCCATATAATATATATCTATGTGGAATTATGAGGGTTATCGTATAATGGAATTTGAGAGATATCAGGCTATCAGTTTAGTTGATTTTTTGTTTTTTTTTTTTAAGAGTCCATATAGAACTCAACTACTAGATATATATCTAGACTTGGTGTATCGGCATTATTTTTTTTATGGGCAATACTATTCTGTGAGTAACGAAGAGGCGCAATACTATTCTGTGAGTAACAAAGAGGCTTAAGCAGATTCCATTGTCAGGCAAGTTAATTCTTGCTTCTAATTCTGTATTTATTCATGTATTAATGGTTAGATTATTAGATATGATTTAATTGTAGGACTCATGATATTTATTTTTTAGTGATATGGGGATTATACAACGAATTATTGATTGAATAGAAATTATATCTATTTCATTATTTCTTTTGTTTATTTGGAGGTGCATATTAGCATAGATTTATACTGATTGATTGTTGGGTTATAAAAGAAATTTAGTAATTAGGGTTAATGATAGTTTTGTTTTTTAGTGCTAATTTAGTAAAGGAAATATGAAAGAAAAGGCAAGGAATCCGTAGAAGCCTGGAATGTGGAATAAAGAGAAAACTGAATTTGTCTTGTGCGGGTGCCACTTAAATGAATGTCTAAAGAGGTTGATTTGGTTTTTGATAATATATATATATATATATATATATATATATATATATATATATATATATATATATATATATTGGTGCACATGCATGCTAGCAGC